TTATCGGTCCTGTCGACTGTCGCGTGGTTTTGTAGTCGGCTGTCGCGTGGTCTGGCGTGGTCCTGTCGGCTGTCGCGTGGTCTTGTCGTCGGCTGTCACGTGGTCTGGCGTGGTCTTGTCGGTCCTGTCGGCTGTCGCGTTGGTCTGGCGTGGTCTTGTCGTCGGCTGTCGGGTGGTCTGGCGTGGTCTTGTCGGCTGTCGCGTTGGTCTGGCGTGGTCTTGTCGGTCCTGTCGACTGTCGCGTGGTCTTGTCGTCGGCTGTCGCGTGGTCTGGCGTGGTCCTATCGGCTGCCGCATGGTCTGGCGTGGTCCTGTCGGTCCTGCCGGCTGTCGCGTGGTCTGGCGTTGTCCTGTCGGCTGTCGCATGGTCTGAGTGGTCCTGCCGGCTGTCGCGTGGTCTGGCGTTGTCCTGTCGGCTGTCACGTGGTCTGGCGTTGTCCTGCCGGCTGTCGTGTGGTCTGGCGTGGTCCTGTCGTCAGCTGTTGGGTGGTCTGGTGTGGTCTTGTCGGCTGTCGCGTAGGTCTGAGGCTCTGTTCCTCGACCTCGGGCTTTCGTGGGGCGGTGGGGCGGGGCGCGTGGGGGGGGGGGTCTCTGCGGTTGAATAATCTGTGAAAATTGGGTTTCTGTGAATTTTCTTTTTTTCTCTCTCTCTTTTTTTAGGTGTTTTGTTTCTTTCTTCTTCTTAGACATATTATTGGATATTATTGTGTGTGTCTAGATAGATGGATATTCTCTCTCTCTCTCTCTCTCTCTCTCTCTCTCTCTCTCTCTCTCTCTCTCTCTCTCTCTCTCTCTCTCTCTCTCTCTCTCCCTCCCTCTCGCGCTTTCTCCCTCCCTCTCGCTCTTTCTCCTTCTCTCTCTTTCTCCCTCTATTTCCTTTCTCCCTCTCTCTCCCTTTCTCCCTATATCTCCCTTTCTCCCTCTCTTTCCCTTTCTCCCTCTCTTTCCCTTTCTCCCTCTCTTCCTTTCTACTTCTCTCCCTCTCTCTCTCCCTTTCCCTCTATCTCCCTTTCGCCCTCTCTTCCTTTTCCCTTCTCTCCCTCTCTCTCTCTCTCCCTTTCCCTCTATCTCCCTCTCTCCCTCTCTCTGTTGTATGGTCTGACCAATTATTCTGCAATTTCCTTCACTGGCCCTACAAAAGACACTTATTTTTTGTTCTTTTCTGCGTTTTCTTAAACATGTAACGTGTGTATTTCTTTTTTGTTTTTGTTTTTTATCTCCTTATCAACATTATCGTGGCGTCATTTGAACTCCACATGAACTGACCAACTGTGTAATTACTTTACTGATTGTTGCGCGTGTTATTTGTGAATCATTACTGGCTGCTGTGTCCCATTGACTATTGTCTGGCTTTGTTGACTGTTGTGTGGAGGTATTGTGTCCGCGAGGTCTCAGGGAGAGAGGCCGGCGGGTCCGCAGGAAGGCAGGGCGGGAGGCGACGCCCGCCCCTCGCCGCCCCGGCCTGCTCGACGAAAACACTACCATATACAAATATGTGCATACACATATATATATATATATATATATATATATATATATATATATATATATATATATATATATATATATATATATATATATATATATACATATATATATATGCATATATACATATATATATATATATATATATATATATATATATATATATATATATATATATATATATATATATATATGCATATATACATATATATATGCATATATAAATATAACCATACATATCTACATATATAAACACATATATACATATATAAACGCATATATACATATATATATATATATATATATACATATATATATATATATATATATATATATATATATATATATATATATATATATATATATATAAACATATATATGTATAAATACGCGTATGTACATATACATATATATATTCATATACACAAACATATATATAAATTTTTTTGCATATATATTCATATATACATATGTGTGTGTGTGTGTGTGTGTGTACACATATATATATACATATGTGTATATATACATATATACCTACATGAATATATTCATTCCTGATCGCCACTCCCTCTCCCTTCTCTCTCTTATCAATTAAAGGCGTAAAGATCCTCCGCCTCGTTATATTACGACCCCGTAAACACAGGCACCGGCAATCGACGCATAATACTGGCACTTGAACCCCGCTCCCCTCCACTACCCCTCCCTCCTCCCCCTCCCCCTCACCTCCCCCTCCCCCCTCCCCCCTCCCCCTCTCTCTCCCCCACCTTTCCCCTCTTCCACTTCAGTTCACTTCGTTCCCCTCCTCCCTTTCCTTACCTTCCCCTTCTTTTCTTTTCTTTTCTTTTTTTTTTTAATCCTACGCTATATTTTTTTCGTCCATACATCTCCCTGGTCCTTCTTCCTATGCTTTATTTCCTCGTCATTCTTTCATAAAAGACTTTGTGAATGGGGAAGCGACCAGGGAGGAGGAGGAGGTACCGTGCGTGGGTGTGCTGACTCGGCTGACTCGGCTGACTCGGCTGACTCAGCGGACAGGTAATGGGGAAGCTTAGGACGCGGTCAATGACGTCAGTATTAACAAGGACTTCATGGAGATGATTATGTCATGTTCAGTGTCATAGTCTTTCTCGCTGTGTGGCTGATGCGGTTCCGTGTATGTGTCTGTTTGTGCTTGTCTGTGCTTGCGTGTGTGTGTGTGGGGGGGGCGTGTGTGTGTGCTTGTGTGTGTGTGTGTGTGTGTGTGTGTGTGTGTGTGTGTGTGTGTGTGTGTGTGTGTGTGTGTTTGTGTGTGTGTGTGTGTGTGTGTGTGTGTGTGTGTGTGTGTGTGTGTGTGGTGTGTGTGTGTGTGTGTGTGTGTGTGTGTGTGTGTGTTTGTGTGTTTGTGTGTGTGTGTGTGTGTGTGTGTGTGTGTGTGTGTGTGTGTGTGTGTGTGTGTGAGCGCGCGTGAGTGTATGTGTGACAACCGTGACGAGACAAAACATTCACTCGCGTTAGATTCTAAGATACGCGCCTCATCTACGTGCAAAAACAAAAGACAATACCACGCCAGCGCTATTTACGGCTAGCAGAAATGGCTAAGTTTTCGTACAAGTTTTTCGTCCAATTTTGGTTCATTAGTTATTTTCCTATTTTTTTAGAGGGCGGCCGTTTCTTGGCGTCGGGAGAAACTAACGGATCATGATGAAAATTTTGGGTGGATTTTCTAAGGCCTTGGGACCAGTTGACTCAATTTCCGTGATCCGGATAAGGATCTAGGATCTAATTGGAGGATTTGTTGCCAGTGCAATCCGTGAAAGTGGAATCGTAAGGAAACGCCTTTTCTCCGAAGTATTTGTTGGTAGACCTATGTATCTTGACGCTGAATTCGAGACTGTCGGAGCTCTTTAAGTGATTTCTTGGTCTTGTTCTTGGTCTTTGGTCTTGGCCTTGATCTTGATCTTTGGTCTTTGGTCTTGGTCTTTGGTCTTGGTCTTGGTCTTTGGTCTTGGTCTTTGGTCTTTGGTCTTTGGTCTTTGGTCTTGGTCTTTGGTCTTGGTCTTTGGTCTTGGTCTTTGGTCTTTGGTCTTAGATATTGGTCTTTGATCTTGGTCTTTGATCTTGGCCTTTGGTCTTTAATCTTGGTCTTTAGTCTTTGGTCTTGGTCTTTGATCTTGGTCTTTGATTTTTGGTCTTTGGTCTTGGTCTTTGATCTTGGTCTTTGGTCTTGGTCTTTGGTCTTGGTCTTTGGTCTTGGTTTTGGTCTTGGTCTTTGGTCTTTGGTCTTGGTGTTAATGCTGTCATCGTTGTTCGTGGTGGTGGCTATGGTTTTCCTGAACTCTGCTGACCCGATCCCCATCACGGCGAGGGGGCTTAGGAGAACCCCCAGCCTGTGAGCGCCGCAAACCTCATGGATTTGGGACTCGCTTGGGTTGTGACGTCAGCGAAGAGCACTAATTCTGGCGGAGGTCCTACTGATGATGTCATATCAGGATCTGGCTAAATATAATGCATGATATAAATCAGTCTGACCTCGTGAGAGAAAAAAAGAGGGAAGGGGAACGGAAGGGGGATACGGAAGAAAACAGTGTGATAAAGAGAGAGAGAAGGGGAGAGAAAATGAAATTGAGTAGGGAGGGAGAGGGAACATAAGGGACGATAGGAGGGAGGGAAGGAAGAAGGTAGACAGGGAGGGAGAAAAAAGAAAGGAGGTAGGGAGAAAGAGGGAGGGATGATGCGAGGGTGAGGGAGAGACACAGAGGGTGAGATATGGAGACAGACAGACAGACAGAAACAGAGACAAAGACATACAGGCAGACAGAATGAGATAGACCCAGAAGACAGAACAAGAGAGAGTGGGAAGAAAGAGGGAAAGGAGGAGGGAGAGAAGAGCGGAGGCAGAGAGGTGGCCATTAGGAGCTTCAAACTCCGGTGACAGGTGTAGGGAGGCCGCGCCGGCGAAGCCCAGAACGTTGGGGTGAAAAGAGAAGTGGTAATTGCGAGTGATTTTTAGCGTCCACTTTTTTCATATATGATTGTAAAAAATAATTATTTTTTATTGTAAAGATCCACCGTTTCTCTATTTTTTTTACCGAAATCTTTATTTTACACGGAATCACCCGCAGTCATGACAATTACTACGATCTACTTCTATTTCAATCACCATCAACCTATTCGAAAATGCGTAGCCTAAAACAGAACCGCGACGCACGTCCATTGCAGGCCTACTTAACAAGAGCGTTCTTTCGTCTTCTTTTTCTTGCCGATGGTTTAAATCATCGACAAGCAAGCAATACGAAATAGCTCTACATACCGGCCATTTCCTCAGTCACCCCGAAAAAAAAAGAAAATGGGGGAGGGAAGGGGGAATCGTAATATCAACATTGCAAAAATATTATTGCAACCTGGCAGAGTAAACAAGCTCAGCCTTAACTCACCGATAAGATCGGCGGGTCTCGAAGTGGAAGATATTATTTCACACTCGTCAAGCTCTAAATTTATCCGGTCGTGCAAACATGAAAAGAAAAGGGCAGAGTGAC